TCCATCCCGAAGATGCCTGCCATCTTCCGAACCGACTCGAACTGAGAGTCGTTCATATGGGAGAAGTCGTTCCTATCCATGGCAACGAACTTCGGAGGTTCAGGTAGTCTACCCGCGATGGCGTGGATTGACTACAAGTGCTACCAAGTGTGACGGGGTCACACAGCACCTTGCGCTAGAGGAAGTTATCTTCCGAGAGTATACAAACTCTCAGTGAACGGCAGTTCACAGGTCCCCTCTTTAATTAAAGAGAGCGAAGTGACCTAAATAAGGTAGATTGTAAACTGAGTATATTTATAGGTAGGTTAAGTTTGAGGTTAATACAAACTATCAGTTACCTATAGTAATGCAATGTCATTTAACCAATGGTTGGTTTTGAATGACCTTGGTACCTTGTACCAAATATCCCGGAGTATGACATGTCATACTCCTGAAGTGTGAAGTGTCACACTTCATGTAACCAGGGTACACTTAGTGCTACGTACCCCGTTACAAATGGCAACTGGGATACGTAAAGTTTGCGAATGCAAAGAGCCTCAAGCAGATTAGCACGCATTGTTTGTATAAATTTGTTTTAAAGGAGTGAGCGGAAAACATACTTGATGAAGGCGTTTATACAAGTGCAAGCTACAGCTCGCTTCGACTGACGCATTGCTTTGTAATTCAAGTTCTAAATGGGGTAGAGATCGTGTATAATGACGAGATCTTTGGTGTAGCAATTGAGGAGTGTGATTTATCTTGGATTACGGTATTTCGTTTGTTCGTTCTGTGCAACTCCATGGTGCGTGAAGACCGACTTGCTAAGTTAATTTCTGTTTTTTTGTTGGGGCCGATAATTCGTTCGAAGTTTCATAGCAGTACTTTAAGTATTGAGTAATGTCCAGCAGACGCATATCACTTTTTTAATTTGCGACATACTGATTCATCACTTATCGCTTGTCAATGGTCTTCAAATTTGAAACTCCCTTCTGCTCGCTTCTCGATGGAAAATCTGATTGTATGATTGGTTTCAATGGCAATACGTCTTTACAACCGACTGTCCGGCTATGGAGTACTTTGATGTTTTTCGTTGAGATTCGATTTGAATCTTTCGTTAGTTTGATTTGAATCTCTCGATGGTTAATACTCCGGTACAGATACAAATATTTACATTTCTTCAGGCATGATGAATTGCTGGAATGCTTATTTGTTATTTTACGACTGGTAAACTATATATTTGATAGATCATCTTTGATGCTACGCTGGCAAATATATTTTTGACGCTGTCATAATTTCAGCTGCATTGTGGACAAGACTTTGAAACAATCTAAAACAAGGCCTATAATTCCTCAGACCTGATAAATTACCGGCCGGCGTCTTACATGTACAAGTTAATGTTTCTGAATCTTATCGTCATCCTCTTTAGATTGAGAAAAAATCTTGTGATTTATATAGTGCGTCAGTCTCCAATTCGCTATCAGAAAAATGGACGAACGTCGACGTGCTAATCACAAACCAATGTCTTCCCATGCCCCTCGCAAGCGTGACCATCACCTTCAAAGTCCTGATGTCATCCACGAGCGATTAAACGTTGTGTCGGAGCTGCATGCTAGTGGTGGTCGTGCCCCCAGCAGATCTGGCCAGATGACGCCATCGACACCAGCCCAAACACCAGCCAATCGCCAGCCTAACAGTTCAGGGACCAGACAGCTATCGTCTCGTCAGCGAAAGCAGCCACGACATTATAGTCCCTCGCCACAGGCACCCTGCTTGAAGTTGCTGGAACTTCTTGACTCTCTCTGCATGCTGCTTCCAAGCGCGATCGAACTCTGTTCCGAATAGCGAGAGGCATGGACAAGAAGAGCGTACCAGACAAGATAGTCATGACAGCGAAGCAGCGGCTTGCCACGTTGCCTTTCGTCGAGGTGATGTCTCCGTATCCGATGGTGGCCACAGTGACCACTACAAAGTAGCCCGTGGTTAGTAGATCCGAGAAACCTGGTTTATTGCGGTCGTAACTCGGATCCACCATGTACATGTCAAGAGAGAAGAAGAGCACAATTTCTGTGAAGAAAATCAGAGCCACGGAAATGGGGGCGACACTGGCGCGGATAGCTCGCAGCAGAATTTATGTTCCGGAGTGATTGTGTGCCAATTTGAAGATACGAAGCAGTCGGCATAGTCGCATGATGACGAAGCTCTTCTCCTTACCGAAGGTGAGGTCGATGTAGAATGGGACGATGGCAGCGACATCGAACCAGTTGAAAAAGTCGCGCAGAAATGGCTTCAGACGTCGCTCGGTGAGGTATTCATGTTCGCGCCACAAAGATGGCCAAATGACGAGTCGAACGAGTAGTTCCGGGGTGAAAATGATGGTAAAGACCAGATCTGCGTCATAGTAGCCGCTCTCGTTGGGAAGTTTCGGGTACTCAGGCTCAGATCTATGGTGGGGGTTCGGACCGTCCAGCGTTTGTAGGAATAGGATGAAGCAACTGGTGAAGGCTGCATATGCAATGAAGAAACTGTAGAGCGACGCTCCGCGCGAAGAATTGGGGTCTACCATGAGGACGAAGACCTTTTCGAAGCGGCCGAGGGTCGTCGCGTGCTTAATGACGCCCGTTCCAGTGCCTTTGATCATGGACTCAGCATAGAACGTCGAGTTCACCAGCTCGTCCAGCGATCCCTCCTGCGTGGCAAACGTCGGCGAGACCGCTGCGTAGAGAGGCATCGCTGCGGCATCCGCAAGGTTTGGTAGTGGAGCTATAAGTCTCCACTAATGATGGTGCGGCTTCGTAACGGAGAAACCGCCAATATGTGGACTGCACACCGACGGTGAATTTTGTTCACTTGATGATGAGACTGCATCACTCGTGGTTGAATAACAGTGCCCCAGGGATACTCCATTTAATGCCCCAGGGGCTTTATAGCAGGATGGGGCACAATTTGAGGAGTTGGCCAACAGAGATCGAAAAAATGAACAGAAGTTTTCGGGCCGGCAAGACGAAAGCGTTTCAAAGTTTGATCCAATTTGCACACTTGCAGCACGTGCTAGAGACATAAGCGGAGTACGTGTTCGCTTGGCTTACCAGTATATGTACTTGCAATACACCACTTCAACATCGTTCAGTATTTACGTTCATTGTACTTTTTTACTGTTGACAACTTGTCAATAAGAAGTCAATATCTAGCGCTTCACTAAAAATGAAATACATGGACGTTTATTGCATTTACTCAGCACACGAATAACAATTACAGACTGCTGTAGCGGTGTTGCTCGTGCGGCAGGATGTTGGCGAGCTGTTCTTCAACGTACTCGCGTACCAGTGGAGAGAAGACGTCGCGCTGCATTTGGCCGTTGAACATGGCGTCGTGGCCGAACTTGGAATCCACCTCCATTAACTGAGCACTGTGGCCATACGACTGCAAGATGTTCACCAGATTGCGCTGTTCCTGGATCGGGATCAAAAGGTCCTGCTTAATGCCGATGATCAGAGTGTCGCACGAGATGCGGCTAGTGCCCTCGGCGAGATTGAGCGCATTGCGACCCAGGTTGGCCAGATCCATGGCCTTTGACAGCAGCAGGTAGCAGTTGGGATCGTACAATCGAGCGAACTTGTTGGCCTGGTAATCCATGTAGCTCTCGACCTCAAACGTCGCTGTCATGAAGTGCATCCGGCCGGTTGGATTCCAGTCAAAACGGGCGTCAAATTCCTCGCGCGAGCGATAGCATGTCATGCCCAGCTCACGCGCTACCTTCATTCCTTCAAGAGGCACTCCAGGTGTATAGTTTCCGTCCTTGTACTCCGGATCGGCAAGGATCGCACGACGCTGCACACGGCGGAAGGCAACCGTACCCGGAGTGGTCTGGTGCGTGCAGGCAAGACCGACAAGCCGGTCCAAGCGATCCGGGAACTGGGCCGCGAACTCGAGTGCCTGGATACCGCCCATACTGGCGCCAATGACCGTGTGGACGCTGTCGATGCCTAGGTCGTCCAAGATCTTGGCGTGGCAACGCGCCATGTCGGCGGGCGTAAGTTGCGGGAATGATGCTTTGTACTTCTCGCCCGTGAGTGGGTTAGTTGTCAGTGGCGACGTCGCACCAAACGGACTGCCAAGTACAGACGGGCAGATGACGCGGAAGTAGGAAGTATTGATGGCTTTACCGGGGCCGATCATGTTCTCCCACCAGCCAGGACGTGGGTCGTCACGATTGGAGGCGGCATGGCTCGAGTGCGAGAAAGACGGCAGCACTAGGATGGTACGGTCACCTGGCAACGAGCAGTCACCCCACTGTTCCCAATCGATTGTAATCTCGGGCAGCGAGCCGCCCAGCTCAAGCCGAAATTCCTCCTTGAGGACAGACTGATACTTATTCCGGGTGAGTGCCAAGTCTCCACCGCCACCGTTTCCGCGTTTAGGGTCCAGCACATACCCACGTTGCTGTTGCTGCGCGGCCTGGTTGAGAGCGCTGTGGCGAGCAAGTCGTAACGCCGCTGGGTCTTGGCGAAGAGCTGCCTGAGCAACACGACTGATGAAAGGTTAGATAGACTTCAGCACAGATGAGCCGTATTCAGTGCCGAAAGGGAGCATACCGAGCCAACATTCTCCTTGATTAGCTTTTACCTCTGCTTTATGTGTCTTTGCATGAGTTCTCGAAACGCCACCTCGCTCCATTGGCTGAAGCAGACGCCAATCGAGTGACGATTTGACGCCTCGTCACGCATCCTGTAATCGAGTGACGATTTGACGCCTCGTCACGCATCCTGTAATATCAAATACCTTGATTATCTGATGCCCGATTTATAATAATATAGCTCGTTTTAATAAATCGGTCCTTCGGTCATTCACTGCACCCAATACGAGGGCTCTCATTCTAACTCGGCGATCAAACGTCTGTGCTGACCACTATCCCAGCCGTTCTCCCGGAAGCAGCTTCATTATCCTGGTACGGTGCACAGTCTGGTCTGACTGCCGAGTTACACTTGCAATCGCTCGGTTGTTATCATC